CTGAAATTGAAAACCCAGGTTGGCCAGAAGTTCAGTGGAAAAGGTGGACTTTTCCAAATTAGGACAGCGCGCGTTATTCAGGTGTTGGTTTTGCATTATGTTGCCGTCGTTGCGTATAGGAAGAGGGAGGTTCGAAGGCAGGAGAAGGGGTCGAGAGATCGAGAGAAACGATTGCGTTTACAGGGTTCGCTGTTTACCACGGGCATTCGGTTTTCGCCGGCATTGATGAGCTGAAGGCTCTGCCAAAGGTGTTCAGTTATCCGTTGTGTTTGGAGGTTTACAACATGCGTTTCCTCTTTCAGCGTCCGTTCATGACTTCGTTCGACGGCTCTTGCTGTAATATGATGGGTTGTTCTTTGGCGCAGCGTTCTCCCGATCAAAGTCTATCGCCGTAAAACTGGAAACCCAGGGTGGCCAGCAGCTCTTTGGGAAATGGAGAGTTTTCAAAATTAAGTCAGACGTGTATTAGTCAGGCGTTCTCTTTGCATTATTATGTAGCCGCTGTGTACCAGAAAAGGGAGGTTCGAAGGATTAGGAAGGGGTCTGGAAACACGATTGCGTTCACAGGGTCCGCTGTTTCTCGCGGGCGTTCGGGTGTCGGCGGAATTGGTGATATGAGGGCCCAATCCAGAGTGTTCAGTTATCTTCTGGAGGTTTCTAACAGGAGTGTCCTCTTCCAGCGTCCGCGAATTTCTTCGTCCGACGGAGAATTGTTCCGCTCACCCGAACTCATTTCCCCGCTCGGTCGAGGAAGATGTCCCCGCTCGCCCGAGATAATTTCCTCGCTCGGTCTGCGGAAATTCCGGGCTCGCCGGGGAAATGTCTTCCTTCGTCCGTCGAAATGTTTTCGTCGAACCGAGAAAGTGTTCCTCGCTCCTGCCAACCTTTCTTCTACAGAGGTTTTGAGGCACAAAGAGTCGTCCGATCGGACGAAAAGCATCAGCCTGCACTTGCGAGTGCAGCCTTCGGTGGAGCTCCCTGTGGGGCCACGAAGCGTGTGAAGGGCGTGCCGAGGTGGGAGCGGGCACGCTGTGCGGGCCTGAAACTGGGGCGCTTTGGGGACGCCATGCGGACCCTGCTTCTTGGGCGCTCGGTGAAGCTCTCTGTGGGGCTACGAGCCGTGTGAGGGATGTGCGGGACTGGGGGCCGGCAAGCCATGCTGACCCTATTGGTGGGGCCGTCGGTGGAGTTCCGTAATTACATCGGGGGCATCCGTTAAGAGATATGCCCAGGAGGTTCCGGAGCTTGCAAGATTTCTTATCTGATGAGGGTGGCGGTGATAGCCTCAAGTGGCGCCCCGCCCGCATCCAGACCCTGGATTCCTTCTCTAAAGGGTTCCTCATGAAATGCCCTCACAGCAGGATAGGGGCCAGGAGCCGTGCGAAGGGTGTGCGGAATTGGAGGGGCGGGCACGACATGCGGATTTTGCCATTGGGGACTTCGGTGGAGCTCCTCGTGGGCACATGAACTGTGTGAGGGGTGTGCCGGATTGAGGGCGGGGACGCCATACGGACCTTGGAATTGGGCGCGCTCTGTGGAGCTCCATCTGTGGCCAGGAAGCGCGTGAGCGGCGTGCCGAAATGGACGAGAGAAGAGCAGGAGGAGGAGGAGGGAGGGAAGAAGGGAAAGATGTACGTGCCGTTGCGAATTCTAAACGAGCGCAGGGAAAACATCACGCGGGAGAGGCGACGTAACGTCGAGACAAGATCATGGAAGAGAGAAGACCAGTCGTCATATCGCATGATATTGCGAGTGAGGAAGAACACGATTTCCAATCGTGGAAGCGACAGCCAGCTCGGTGATATTCGGTTTCCGTGGTGTCCGTCTCTCCAGTGCGCATATCAATAATCACAGTTTGTTCCCAAATAGAAGACAGGACCGTTTTTGTTGGTGATGCTCCTTCAGGAGACACGGCATCAAGATCCGCGAGCTTCATTGAAGCGACTCAGGCGCGGGAAAAAAAAGGCACGAGGTGCAGTAGAGGTTGGCCAAGGAGGCGTGTGACATCAAGCGAAGGAGTGCGACAATGAGATACAGGCAGGAGATGGAGAGGATGAGAATGAAGACTTGAAGGATGAAGAAGAGGGTGGAGGAGGATGTGGAGCAGGCAGACAGATCTTGAAAACATCCTACGTTTATGTTAGACGCTTCGCGTAGCCCCACCAGCCCATCCAGAAACGATATCCAGACGACTTCCCCTGATCAGATCGGCAGCGCGTGGTGCATAAACACCATGACGGACAGCGCAGCAGCAACGCCAACGACCGTTTCCCAATCTTCCCCTATTTTTCCTGTGTGTTTTCCGCGCCTCCTTGCGACGCAGATTCCTGAGTTGCCACTATGAACCACCGTTTGGTGTCTTCTGGTCCGTTACGCAAGTGCCACAAAGGCCCGCGCCTTCAGGACTCAACGGTTCGCCTGGGCCACGGGCGTCGCCGGTTCCATTCCCCGCCAGTTTGCCAGGGAAAGGTCCGAGGACCCAACCGCCCCAGCATGGACATGTGACGGGGAGGGTTGTACTCTCCAGCCTCGAAAAAAACGAATAGTGAGACTGGACGACACAATCCCAACGACCGCGAGCCCAGGTCCCCCAACAGCCCGAGAGGGGCGCCCTAGCATCCAGAAGGCCCTGAGAAAACATAAACCCAACACGAAGACTGGAAGCGTGGGAGAGAGGTGGGGACGAGTGGAGGGGGATTGGGACATGTTGTTCCAGGAGCTGCCAGAGACGCCCTTCCAGCTATCCTGCAGGAGCCTTAACAAGGTACCATTGGCTCCTATCCGATCTCCAGGAGGGGCAGCACGAGGAGGCCTGTGCGATTGCGACCTTCACGCCACACCACGCCACGCCATCCCGCTTGCAGGCCTGATAGGTCGCCAGGCTGCCATTCAGCCTAGATATCCGCAAGGAGAGGGGGGGGGGGGGGGGGCGGAAAGCAGAGGGTGGGAAGAGAGGAGGGTAAGCCCCCGATAGCACACAGCACTTTGCAATACCAACATGGACGAGCCACGGAGAACGCGGCCACAAGCGGGTGGCCGCACCAGTTGTGGCATGGAGAGCGCCACTTGGGGTATTTTTGCATACCGACCCTCTTGGGGCCGCCGAAGGGCGCAACGACCGCAGCGGTGCTCCGCCGCTCCTCCCGAGGCGTTGGCGACCAGGGGGCCCTACGGGGAGACCCCCTGGGGCCCCATCCCAGGGAAAACGACAGGGACGATCGGGGGACACCCTCCGAAGGAAGCTGGCTCTCCAGCGAGGCAGCAGTGCAAATTAGCGTTACGATCACGCATACACCGCACCCACACATACGTAACGCACCACAACACTATCGCACTCAGCCCCGGCTGCGAGGGGCGCGTTGGCGGCGGCCACTTGGTAGAAATTGGCGGCCTGGCAGATCTGAAGGGGCAAGCCCAACAAGATTGCCGCCCCTGGATGGTCGGAAGGACCCGCCATCGGCAGCGTGCTGTGTAGAAACACCATCACGGACAGCGCAGCCAACCATGCACCGCCAAGACCGTTTCCTGAACTTCTATTTCTCCAGTGTACGTTCCCCGCCTCCTTGCGACGCACATTTCAAAGCAGGCACCGTGAACCACCGTCTGGTATCGTAAGGTCCGTGACGCAAGTGACCCAACGGCCAGTTCTCCCAGGACCCGAAAACAACTCGCCTGGACCACGGAAGACGCCGGCTCCACTCCGCGCCGCTCCAGCCAGGGATAGGTCCGAGGACCTACCGCCCCAGCGTGGATGTGTGACGGGGAGGGTTGTACACTCCCGCCCTCAACACGATCAATGAGGTTGGAATCAGGTTCAACTGAGCATGAACAGGACGACACAACCCCAGCGACCGCGAACGCAACTCCCCCAACAGCCCGAGAAGGAGCACCCCCAGAGGGGCACGGGTGAGGCCTGTGTAACTGTGTCTTGGGTTTTTTCAGGGAGCACAAGCCCCGTCCGACCATGGCCGAAGTCACCGCCGAACGACACGGGCACACCCAGGGAATCGAACAGCCCGTCCGACCACGGCAGAAGCCACCACCGAACGGCATGGGGATACCGCGAAAGATCCGCCTGCGCGCCCATCACGATCATCTTGTCGATGGTTTTCACGGCCTCCAGCGGATTACCCGAAGGTAGATTCCAGTGTTCCAGTCCACCTCTTCGTCGCAAAAGAAGTGGACAGGAACAGCGGAACCTCCTTCGGGTCCGCCTGGACGCCCATCACGACGATCAGTTTGTCGATGGCCTTCACGGCCTCCAGCGGCTGGAACTTCCCGGGAGCCTGCAGGTAGAGCCCATTGTTCCAGTCCATCTCCTTGGCCGAAGGCGCACGAATCGGTTGTCGGATGAGATCGGCCATACCATCCCATATCCAGACCACAGACATGTCATTTTTGGTTCTACTGGCCTCTCCGGAAGCTCTGGATCAGTTTTGCTCATTGCTGGCTTCTCGCAGGGAGTTCCGCACAAGTCGTTGCTCGCATGGATCGCCAACTGAGTCGACGAGATCTGCCCACCACTTGAACATCTGATAATGCCGAACCGCGTAATCTGGAAACTGGCATGCATCAGGCGTCGCACACGCAGGGGACATCGCCCGCACCAACACAGAAGGAGGCGGAGAGACGCGCCAACAGGGGAGGGGAGGGGAGGGGAGAGAGCCTTCCGCTGCCACTCCCGCCACTCTCGCTCCTTTCCCCTCGTCCACCCCTCTCCGCTTCCCCCGCCTTCTCCATCGAGGGCCTGCCGCCGATCCATCGGCGATGCATCCGCCGATCCCAGGCCAACGACTCCCCCTCTGAGGCAGTCCACCCATCTCGTTCCCCCTCGCGCCCTCGTCTCGCGGTGCTGCTCCCCCCCGCTCCCCTCTGCCCCCCCTCCCGCGTGCCGCGGTCGCGCCCGCCCCTTCTTATCGCCACCCCTCGCGTGCTCAGCTCTCGGCGTTGGCCCCCCTCCCTGCCCCCCCCCGCCGCGCCCCCGCCGCGCCCGCCCGCACAGCCGCCGCGCCCGCCTTCCGGTCCCCGCGCGCCGGCCCGCCCCCAGGGCGCCGGGCGCGCCGCCAGCGGATCTCGGCCTCTCTCGGCCTCCCGCTGGGGGCGGCGACGGGGGCGAGTGGCCCAGGGGGCGAGCAGTGCTCGTCTAGGCGGCGAGGTTCCCTGGCGAAAGCGTGCAGTGCCCGCCCTCGGGCTACGTGGTCTGAAGTCGGGCCTCCTCCCTCTACAGGAGGAACATCCAAAAATAGTCCAAAAATAATCTGGGGGCGATCTGTTAACCATTTTTGAGTATTTTTGTGAAAATTCTGGTGCATGTTTAATGTGTCGTCCAAAACCCGCCTGTAGGGGGACACGCCCGACCTGAGGCTAGTCGCCCCTGCCGTTGCCTCCGATGCCGTGGGGGAGATCTGGGGACTTGTCCCAGCGGAGGACGATTCGCCGTGTGGAGCAACCGAGTTTCATCGAGAGACAGCGGGCCTTGGGTGTTCTGATTGTTTTCAGGCTCTCGGGGCCCTCGGGCCCCGGGGTTGTCAGAGAACGGCTCAGAATGAGGAGTCGGACCTCGAGAAAGGAAGGCCCTGTAGTCCAGGACCCGCTTCCCTCAGGACCCCTTGTTTCCATGCCAGTGTCCCAGCGGGGGATGATTCGTTGCCTCCAGTACAGTCACGCAGTCACGGGGGTGCGCTTGGGGATCGCTCCTCCTTCCCCCGTCCGCTCCCATTCTCCCCTTTCTCCCTCCTCCTCCTCCTCCTCCTCCTCCTCCTCCTCCTCTATCTTCCTGGGGTTAAGATGCCCCCAGACTTCCGACGGGGTAACGTATTCATTCAATCATGTTTCTTTTGTTTCGCACCCGGGAGGCCATCCCAAAGCCGTTCTTTCTGGACGAAAAGCTGGTCCCAGGAAGAATCGATTCGATTCGAAAGGCCAGACGGCCACGCATCGAAGAAAGAACGGCGCTCGGAGGTCCATGGTCCATGGGGAACAACACAGCCTCGCCCACCTGGTCGAAGTTGGGCCTGGACGCGGGTCCGCTGCGGCAGACTTCTTCCCTTCTACCCCCTCTTTCCCTCCCTCCTCAGTGATGTCCCCTGCACCTTCTGGGCAATTCGGATCGCGAAGGGGTTAATTCACTCATTCTTCACCGTCTGGGCTACCACCTGGATCTTCCCCCTCAGATCCCCGCCAAGCGGCGGCCCCCATGCCCAGATGGCAGAGACGAGGGCCTAGCCGGTCTCTGCGCGATCGCCAAGCCGAGCCGATTCTAGAGGAGGGAGAGGAGGGGAAGGATGAGGATCATTTGTTATGCTGTTTCAGGGGGTCCATTTCTTGTTGCAAAGGGCATCCACTGAGCGGGGTAATTTGCCCTTCTGTCTCCTCCGCCTCATCCTCCTCCTCCTCATCTCCTGCCTCTTTGATGCTGTTCCAGCTCCATCCATCCATCTATCTATCCATCCATCCATCTATCCATCTCCTCCTCCTCCTCCTCCTCCTCCTCCTCCTCCTCCTCCTCCTCCTCCTCCTCCTCTTGCTCCCCTTCCCCCTTCTCCTCTTCATCTTCCCCCTGCTGCTGCTGCTGATGGCGGTCGAATGTTTGTCGCCAAGCAAACCTGTCCAGCCCCTCCCACCCGGCGAAAACCAGGGGGGGAGGGGGGACCCATTGGGGAAAAGGTGAGAATAAGGTAGAGAGCAACCGATCACTAACAATGGGGTGGGGGAAGTGGGAGGCGCCTGATGTAAAACAGCACAAACGGAGGGCCAAACCACCCCAAGAACGAGAAGGCAAGCCCCCAGAGGCAGAAGCGGGAGAGCGAGGCAAAGAGAGGGAAGGGGGAAGGGAGAGAGGAGGAGAGAGAAGGGGGTTCGCCTCTAGGCCCTTGGGGTGGTTTGGTCGCCGTGACGCGAGGAAGAGGAAAGAGGAAGGTCCTGCTGCAGCTGCTGCTAGAAGGGGAGGAGCAAGGAGCGGCGGAGGTGGGTGGATAGGCGGGTACGCGGGCTCCAAAGCAAAGGCGTGACGTTAGAGGCGGTATTGGTGCCGTGCGCCTGGTCGTGGATTAGGTAAGGAGGGATCGTACAGAAGGGGGAGGTGGGGTGACCATGGGCACAGCGACGGTCGGGGAACAGCGGCGACTGCGGTTAAAGGGCACAGGGTCGAGCAAACGCGAAGGGCAATGGCACCAGGAAGAGGAAGTGGAGGTGGGGTAGTGATCATGACGCAGGAAGTGGAGGTCCTGGTACCAATCGGTCGACTGGCAAGCTGCGGTTAGCATGCTGTTAGGGCGGAGGCAGAGGGCCGCAGTGGCAAGCTCTTTAGGAGGTCCCAGCGGTAGGGCCGCTCTTTTGGAGTGGGGGGAGGGCCAGTCGACCCTTCTGTACATGTGTAAGGTTGCGCTGGACTGGCGACAGAACAGGTGAAAAGAAGAGGTGCTGGCAGTCATGGGAGTGCGATGAACTGGAGACAGAACAGGTGGAAAGAATAGGTGCTGGTAGGCGTGGCAGTGCGATCTGGAACCTAGGCGCTGGTGAGTGGGTGGGTAAGAGCGCGCCGCAGAACGTCCCTCCCCCCAGTCCCCCCATGAAATCCCCGCCCATCCCGACTCCACGCGAGGGGGGGGGTAGGTAAGCATGACGAGGCACGAGGACCGGGAAGGTGGTGAAGGTTGGGGGGGAAGGTGGAATCAGGTCCCAAAATTGACGTAGGCGGTGCAATTGAAGTAGCCGCCGTATCCAAGGTATTGCCGACATTTGTCCGCACACTGCCGCAAGTGAGGAAGATGAGTAAGTAGGTGCGCTCGGCGATGGCGGGATCGCACAACCAGTCGCTGCAGTGTCGGTCCGGCCTTGAGGCATGGCCTCAGCGTGGTGGCGCCCAAGTGGGGCGATCCTGGTTCGCCCTGAGATGGTCGAGTTTTGGGAATCGTGGAGGGAGTCAGAGCGTGAGCGGGGGAGGTCGGTTGGAGCGCAGGTCAGAGAGGTCGGAAGGGCACGGTGGTTGTGCTGTGACGGCGTCGGGCGCGTGGGCACCGCGCTCGGCCGTCCAGGCCCGCGCGGGTGATGGCGAGGATGGCGGTCGCCAGTGGTTGGGGGCGCAGGTTGGTTGGTGGACCCGTTGAGGCTGTCGAGGCACTCGGGCGCGGAGTCCTCGGCCGGGGCGTTCCCCTACCATCGCGGCGAGGATGTCGAGCTTCTCCCGGGTGTCGTTGCGTTTGGAGCAGCATTCGGTAATAATATATGATATCAGGGCTTTTTTGGTACTTCGCATGTGATTGGTCTGAGCGATGGTGCCCCGTGCCCATAGGTCGTTATTGCTGTTGTATGGCATGCTGAGGATTGTGACCTCGTCGCCCTCGTTCACCACGATGGTGCCGCGTGTGATGGAGGCCTCCAGCTTGGCGTAGTGCGGGTGGCGCACGGTTGCTCCCACGGGGAAGGTGATTGTGTCGGGGTTGACCTTCTCGTGCGTGATCGTCGTGACGTCGTGATGGGGAGCCATCCAGTGGGCTTCTGTGTTTCGACTTGCATGGCAGGTGGTTGGTTGTCGTTAACTGCTGGGGTGTTGTTGCTGGACGTCGGGTCGGAGCTGCTGGATTCGGTAGTTCCTGCTGCGTGGCCTTGCCCTCGTAGTCGATCATACAAGTAGGCTGTTCTGCTGTCTCTTCTCTGACTGCCGGCAGGGCAGGTTTGTATCTCAGTGGTTTCGATCCTGAGATGTGCCCGCTATGAGGGAGTGCTTGGTGGTCTTGCTTGGGAGTCGTTTGTGGGGGTATGAGTATTGGCATTGTGCTGGTGGTTGCGTCGCCGCTGCTCGTAGGTGTTTCATTGTCCGATCGGTGGGCTGTCGTACTGATCGCAGTAAACGTTGTTGTTTTCGCCTTGTGCGTTGTCTCTCCCTGTGGGGCTGGCTCTCGAGTCGGTGATGTCTCGATGTGCATCTCGCGCTCGAAGGTACTGCGGTCGTCGCATGGTGCCAGGATTGGTTCGGGGCTGCGCAGCTGCTTGCTTCGATGGATAATGTGGCCTACGCGTGGAGGGCGTGGGCCTCCCTCTCGCATGGGGGCGACCACGATCACGTTCTTGCCCGAGATGAGAAATGGCCGGGGGCCCTGGTTGACCTTGAGGTGGGTGAAGGAAGTGCCGCCTGCGAGGTCGCTGTGCCATGTGCGTGCTCGGTCGACCCATTCGAGTGCGTCTGGTTCCCGTTGGTATTCGGTCCGCAGCTTGTCGAGTAGGTTGACCTACCGTGGCAATGACGGGTAACGGAGAATTAGGGTTCGATTCCGGAGAGGGAGCTTGAGAAACGGCTACCACATCTAAGGAAGGCAGCAGGCGCACAAATTACCCAATCCTGACACAGGGAGGTAGTGACAAGAAATAACAATACAGGGCATAATTGTCTTGTAATTTGAATGAGTAGAATTACAATCCCTTTACGAGTACCAATTGGAGGGCAAGTCTGGTGCCTACAGCCGCGGTAATTCCAGCTCCAATAGCGTATATTAAAGTTGTTGCAGTTAAAAAGTTCGTAGTTGGATTTCTGCCGAGGACGACCGGTCCGCCCTCTGGGTGAGTATTTGGCTCGGCCTGGGCATCTTCTTGGAGAACGTAGCTGCACTTGACTGTGTGGTGCGGTATCCAGGATTTCTACTTTGAGGAAACTAGAGTGTTTCAAGCAGGCTTACGCCTTGAATACATTAGCATGGAATGATATGATAGGACCTCGGTTCTATTTTGTTGGTTTCTAAAGCTGAGGTAATGATTAATAGGGATAGTTGGGGGCATTCGTATTTAATTGTCAGAGGTGAAATTCTTGGATTTGTTCAAGACGGACTACTGCAAAAGCATTTGCCAAGGATGATTTCATGGATCCAGAACGAAAGTTAGGGGATCGAAGACGATCAGATACCGTCCTAGTCTTAACCATAAACCATGCCGACTAGAGATGGGAGGTCGTTATTTATACGATTCCTTCAGCACCTTATGAGAAATCAAAGTCTTTGGGTTCTGGGGGAAGTGGTCGCAAGGATGAAGCTTAAAGGAATTGACGGAAAGGCACCACCAGGAGTGGAGCCTGCGGCTTAATTTGACTCAACACGGGGAAACTAACCAGGTCCAGACATAGGAAGGATTGACATATTGATAGCTCTTTCTTGTCATCTGGGCGCAGCGGCAGCAGCAGCATCAGGTGATCAGCGAGGTGGTGGAGCTGTCATCTGACCATGACGATGAGGAGCGGACGCTGAGGACCGCGGAGGTCCACCCCATCAATACTAACCAACCATGACAAAGCTGTATTTCTCACGTCGTTGATTGCGGCGGGGTACTCCATGATCATGGGGGCCCTCGTGTTGATGCATACGCATGCAAGAAGAATAGAAGTGCGCAGTAGCTCGTTGTCAATGTGTAGTTGTTCGAACTGCTTCAGAGACATACGATGTAGTACCCAAGGTTGTTGTCGGCTCCTCAGAGGGCGAGCTTGGCACCCGCCCCATGTCTCGCGCGATGGTCCCGCTATAATGGCGGCCGCGCGGCCGCGTAGTAGTTGGTCTCTCCAGAAGCGCACGGTGTCCCAGTTCGCGAGGTCGCCCTGATCTCGTCGCAGGTGATGTCGATGGAGAGTACTGTGGTGCTGTTGTCGTAAGAGTTGGGGCATTCTATCCATTGCTGCACATCGCCATTGCGTCTGTGTCCGCTGCCGATGTGCAGTATGACCTGCGTCGTTGTACTTGTCGGTCTTGGCATTGGCGCTGGGCCAGGTCTTGTTTCCACCGGTGCTGTAGCAGGCATGGGTACTTCTTGTAGCCTCGTAATCTTGGATGTACAGTGGCGACACGTCAGTCTTGTAGCTGGCTATGCGCGCGTGCAGCGGGGGGCAGTCCAGCCTTGATGTTGGCTCTTCGCTCGTTTCGTCTGGCTCCTCTGTTTGCTTCCATGGTTGCACCGTCATGCCTGTCGGCGCTTCGTCTCCAGGGTGCCGCGCGTGCATTGCACGCGAGTAGGTGCCTGACGAGTCTTCCAAATGCGTGGTATTCGCTGGAGCATGTCAAGCATCTTGTCCCATGAGCCCATGTAGTTGGGCGGTCGTCTGTTGGGTGGTGTTTCCCATGTGGACGTAGAATGCGTTGATATCCGTAAAGGTGGCGACACATTCGCAACGCATTATCGTCTTGTCGTTGTGGTTTTCGTCGGTAATGACCTGTGGGGCAAGATCGTCGTCTTG